TTTCATAACAGTTGAAAATTTAAGTTTTTAACAATGAAGAGGCTGAAACATACTTTCCTGCCAAAGCTGGTGTTTTAGTCCATTTTCTATTGCTGTAAAAATATCATGACACTGGGAATTTATAGAAGAAGAAGATTATTTTGGCCCATGATTCTAAGACTCAAAAATCCAGCAATATAATGCTGGCATTTGCTCAACTTTTGATGAAGTCTTCATGCGTCATCGTAAGAAAGTGAAAAGACAAGGAAGTGAATACAAAATAGATAGGACTTACTTCATGGAAAAGAAACTAATTTCTTTTCACAGACTAATCATTTTAAAATCTGCACAACCTTTCCACACCATTATAGGGTGTGGGAGAGATTTCACAGGTGAATCCAGATAAGCTATCACTTCTAATACATACTAGTGAGGCAAACATTTTCCTCCAAGAGAAAGAAAATAAGCCAAAAGAAGGGGTGATAGTCCTCATTGGGAGGCAGATAACGTTGAAAGCAGATAATAAGCTTAAGAATTTAAGGACAATCGTTCACGCCATGTTCCATCTTCTTGGAGACACTGGAAAGTCAGGACTCCCAAAATGTCAGGCAGCTTCATTGTTATGACTTTGTTGAGTTCAATTCATGTTTTAAGTCTCTTGGGTTTTAGTTGCACATTGGTGGCTACAGTTGTCCCAGACAAGCATTACAGGCTCCCAGTGACTTTACTGTTCTGGAACCAGGCTGCAGCCACACTCTCATGATTCCACCAATCATTGGTACAGTGCAGACTCTATGTGGTAGCACCACTTCTACTTCTGCAGCCAGTTTCTGCTTGGGTCTCCAGGCAATTGGATGCATCCTGTGAAATCTAGGTGGAGGAAGCTATGCTTTCAGGGTTGCTACACTCCGGATGCTTGCAGAATTAATCCCATGTAGCTGTGGATGCCACTGAGGCTTATTGCTTGCTCATTACAGAGCTAAATCAAGAGCTGCCTCTGGGACCATAGCTGAGTGCTACCAAGGTTTAGCTTTTATGCTCTCTGAGCAACAATACAAACTCCACCGGGGCAGGTTAAGTCGTAGCTGTTTTGTCCACAAGCTGCTCCAGAATGTGGAGAGTAGAGACCTACATAGCGCTGTGCAGTGAGCCTATGCATGGTGCCCTGGACTCGTCCCCCAAGATCTTTGTGCCCTTCTAAAGTTCTGGGCCTGTGAAGAGAGGATGACTTCACAAACCACCAAAAGGCTTTGGATCCTGCTTTTTTAAAGTTGTCTTGACAATTAACACTTGTCATCAATGGTCATCTTTTTAGTAACCGATCACTCAGCCTGCTTGTGCATGGATTTTTAATCTTCACATAGCCAGGCCATGACTTTTCAATGTTTCTATGTTGCACTTTTTAAAAAATTATAAATTCTACTCTTAAGTGCCTCTTTTCCTCTTTTGCATTATTCTAGGTAGTTAAAGGTAACTAATGTGGCCTCTTTTTTCTTCAACTAGAAACCCTAGGTTATTACTCTTAAGTTTTGCCTAACACAAAGCCCCAGGCCATGAACATAATACAGCCGAACTGTGCAAAGATGATTAATGATTTCCTTCCCTCTAATTCTCAATAAGACATTCTCCTGTATGTCTGAGACCTCATCTGAATGGCCTTTAATTTCTAAGATGAAGGGATTTTGAGTTTGATCAGCAAGTGCTCTAAGTGTGTTAAAATGTAGGCTGAATATTAACATATGCTAATGTAAAAATTAAATGCTTTTAAAAAGTATGCATCATCTTCAGGATTTTTTCTCTTTGTATATTGTCATTCATGGAAACATCAAGAGTATAAAAATTTCACCTAGCTGTAAACGAACATATTTTACTTTCATTTCTTGCCAGTTGCCCAGTAGAAACCTCTGACTACATCCGCTTTTAGAAATAACAGCTTATAGCAAGTGACCCACTCACTTCCCTGTTTGCTACCACAAAAATGCCTGTGGTCTCAGCACCTCCTCCACGTGGGGCACACAGGAAGAACTTAATGTGCACTAAGCCACGAAGAAGGCCAAGACCAAGCTTAGTGGTCAAGAAGGACATTTGATAAGGCCTCGGTGGTTCTTCTCATCTGACAGAAATAATTCCTAATTGCTGTTGTAGTGTTAGTTCCCACATGACTTCAACCCAAGATGTTTGCAAAGCATTAAAATTTTTTGTGTGCAAAAATTTTATGAGGTTGGTTATATATCTCCATATGAAGTCTATACATGTACTTTTGCAGTCAAATTATTGTTTCTGCATGAATTTGTTTCTATTGTTTTATAAAATAATATTTTCCTAAAGAAATGCTCCTCAAGTTACTAACAGAATTCCCACTGTGACACCTGTAGAAAGAGAGAGTCCGTGCTTGGCATGAGAAATAAACAGAAGTTTCTTTGAACATAGCATTTCTTTGTCTAAGTAATTTATTTTTTAAACTATTACACAGGCATCATTGTAGTATTTTTCTGTTTATTAATCTTTTCCTATTTTATCAGTTTTGCTTACATATTAATTGTGCCAAAATGGCCCCTGTGCTGAGCGTTATCATGATATTTATTGAGGAGAACTTATTTTTGTGATTCCCCCATAAATGGAATTGCTAAGATATTTTTAAATACTAATGTCTGGATTTTTTACTTCAATATTCTTAAAGCCCATAAAGTGCTTTACAACAAATATTCATTAAAAGTAGTATTGAATCAATTTGTTTGTTTTCCAGATTTAGCATATCATGACACAATATTCAGTATCCTTCCTTGGTATACCTTTCAGTTTTGAGATTGACAGTTATATTTTCTTCACATTTTTATAGTATATTAATTATTGTACCTTATTTTAATATTACATCATGTCACAACATTTTGAATAAATTAAACTACACAAGATGTATATTTAATCAGTTTTTCAGTGAAAATCAACTCATATATTTACTTATTAATATTTACATGCCAAGGGGTTAAGTTTGTCTCCAATTTTTATGCAAGTAATGCATACTTCATAAATGTCCAAATTTATGTTTTTATATTGGTATACAAATTTCTTATCATGAACTAGTGGATACGATCTCATTTTTTACTTTATCTGCTGTGCTGCCTTGTACATTTTTCTTCTATTTACATGGCTTGCCCTTTTTAGTTTGTCTCTCTGTGCGTGCATTTACTTAGCAGAATTTTAACCTGGATCAAACTTTCTAAGTTAACAACACTTTTTCTCCACATTTCACAGTGATTTCCCTACTTTTGGGTTCTGTAACTTAATATATATTTAGGATTATATCTTGAATGTCCCACAGTAAAGCCTGGGATCTTAACTGAAAATGAACTAAATCTCTAAACTATTTTAAGGTATTTGACATATTATGATGTTCAGAAGCTCTACTAAATTGACAAGATATTTTTAATATATCTGTATACAATTATACAGTAAATTCCACATATTTGTGTTAGATTTATTAATAAATATCTTGTAGTGTTCTTACTGTGATTTTTATGGTACATTTAAAAAATCAATTATTTCCCCCCTTAGAAATATACTATTTAAAAAATTAAAACTAAAGCAACTCAATTATTATAAACTCAATTATAGTAGGTCGTTGTTAAAACATATTTTATTTTCTACACAAATGAACGCATCATTGGCAAACATATTCTTAATTCCTGAGCTGTTATCTCTTTCATTTCTTGAGATCTTCTTAAATGTTTACAATACAAATGGAAATAAGTGATCTTAAGAGTCATTTTGTCCTCACAATTTTCTAAAACAACTGAGACAATCAAGTTAAGAATATTTAGTCCCCTATGTGTGCTGGATTGCTTTAATGATGGAAAGGTGTTGAAGGATGTGCTTTCTATTTTGCTGTGATGTTCTATTTCTTACCTATGCTTTATAGTAAATTATACGTGAAGACTTTTTCTTCCAGAGGGAAATTACTATTCTAACCTGAAATAATCACCCTTTGATTTTTTTTTTTTTGGTACTGTATTGGGATATTCATGTGTGAGATGGATTGTTCCTTTTGTTTAATTTATATATCCTTGTCTTGTTTTGGCATCAGAGTAAGTCAGTGTTCAATGAAACAAATAGCAACTGTGCTATTTTTCCTCCTGTTGTCTGAAACTTTATCCACTGCCACGCGTCCCAGGGTTCTGGGATACCTGTTTAATCTAATGTCCTTCTGTGATCCATTATGCCAACTTGAGTACTGCATTACATTCAGTTGTTAGGTCTCTTTAGCTTCCTTTTGGCTGTGACAGTTTTCTTATCATTTTTCAGCACAATACAAATTATAAATAAAAGAGCTAAAAATCAGAATAGTTTTGATTACACTTTTATTTTCTATAAGATTTGTTGCTGTCATTCTGCCAAATTAAAAGAAAGTTATAAAAAGTTATGTCTATAAGGAAAAAGGTAGACATGAATCTATGGCATTCAAATGAATCATAGATAAATGAATATCTACCATAACTGATAATTATTTAATTTATACGTATGATAACTCATCATGGAATTAATTTGAATATGTCTTATAATTTCATAATTAAAAGTACATCATGTGCATGTGTGTGTGTGTGTGTGTGTGTGTGTGTGCTTTTTTGTACAGGGGCACAAAAGATATCCCTCTGTCACTCTAGCCTGCCTAATGAAGTGTACTTGGTTCCATTCAAATTAATAAATATGTTCACAGATGACCCTAGACTCTTCTTCTCTGCTTGTTTTCATGTAATTATTAACCATATTACTATAATTTTTTACTTTTGATTTAGAAATAGATTATATAATCCAATCATTTTTTTTTCAAAACTCTAATTTTCATCATTAAACTTATCATTTTCAAGTCCTAAATATTAGAACTTAACATTGGCCAGTCAAGGGATAGCCACAGCTCACTCAAAGTAAAATTTTTGTGCAGTCATAAAATGAAAGTATTATGATTTTATTACATCTTTTTCACAGGAAGAGATTAGAATGATTCTTGTCATGTGTTTCTTGTGTATTGAAATCAACCAGCCAGTTCTACTTTCAATTTTAAATTAGGAACTCAGAGTATGTCTAAAGTGTTTAGCTCTATGGAAGCCTTTTATCCACCAGACTCAGGATCTTCCTTCTCTAAGCAGGTGTGTGTATTGGGGGAGGCTATGTTTCAAGCTCAGATCATGTTGTAATATAAGACAATTCAAATTATTTATTAAGTGTTTGAAGTGAAGTGCTGATGGCCAAGAATGCTTACCATTTCTGAGGTTTATTCTATCACGGAATCCAATGATAAGCAGTTAGGATATTTACTGAAGAACTGGAAGTTATAATTGTTGCAGTAGAAACAAAGTTTGTCACTAATCATAACTATAAGAATGACTTCTTACATTTGGAATCGGAAAGATTGTGTTTCATGGTGAATTCTTACATATATTTTCTTTTGGAATATACAGTATACAAGATGATAAGGAAATAAGTCATATCCACTTGTTCTAAATACTATAATCAAGTATGATTAGCTTTTTAAAAAAATTAAATTCTGTACACATTTAACAAATAGTTATTTTTTTCTGAGAGCTCTGCTAGACTTTGTCAAGCATTATTTATATATAAGCATATTTGAGTTCATGTCTGTTCATCATGATGATGATGATAATATTTTGCTATTGATAATGGTGATGATATGGATAATGTTGAATTAAATTGTGACAGGTAAAAATGTCCAATAAAAGTGCATGTATCTTTCATGAGATTGTCTTGAAAGAAACCAATTATCACAAAATAAGATAAAAACTATACACAGAAGACCACCTTTATTTTTTATATCAGTAATATCAAATATCCTTGATTAAATTTTTTAATGCTGGTGAATTCAAAATATCTATTATGTACTCTGTGATGTTTTGAAATAATTGATCAGTGTCTCCAAATCAAGATAGAATTATAAAATTATTTTTACTTGGATTTATGTGAATTATTTCCATTTAAAATTTTTAAAGATATGTATCTGGAGAATTTTTTAATATTATCTTTCCAATCAAAATATTTCATTTTGTCACCAAAATAATCTGTAAAAAACTAATGCTCAATTTGTTTTTTTTAAGACCCTTTTGTGGTTGGAAAACTTTAGATTCACTGTGTTGAATGTGCACTCATCACTCCATACCGGGGCGACTTACGACTGAGATGTCACCATATTTTGGTAATGTACTTCTATATCATTATGTGTTTCTGGTTTTGTGTATTTTGTAAGTAGGCAGATTTTATTTTAAATCAAAAGCTTGAGAGATTTTCTCCCAATATTTCATCATTCACCACTATTGAAATCATTTACAATTTTAACTAAGTTAAAATATGAAATGCCATTAGGATTTAGAAACAGAAAACTTGAATTTAAATAAAAATGTTTGCCACTTTTTGGCTTCAAGATAGGAGAAATCCAGAGCTCTTACACACTTTCATTTTTTCTATCAAATAGTAAAATAAAACGTCATATTTATCTTAATTAACTTCAAAATCAAGTCAAGTTGCAAATAATCTGAAAATATTTTTTTACCCTAAAAGAGTAACACATTACTCTTGATTAATGGCATGATATTAAATAATCAATATGATTTTTGAAATCACTAATATTCAATTTCTTCATCCATAAAATTATACTTACCATCTTTTCTTCAGGTTTAATAGTTGAATTGTATGAATGCAAACAATGTTTAAGTCTAATTTTTAGGTACAAAAAAGATAATGAGTATTATATCAATTATAAAAGACTTAAATCTTCAGAAACTATTAATATTTTAATACAATTGATTTCATTTTCTTCATAACCAAGATTCTTAATTTTTCTTTATGCAAAAGCTTTAAATTCTGTTTTAGTCTTTGTATGTTCTCCACTATCAAGAAAATTAGATTCACTTGTATTTACCAAATATTTCTATACAATTGACATTGTATATGCTAAGTCCATGATACCTTATTTTTTTAAAAAACATCTCTAATGGAACCTGTTATATCATGTACAGATACAGATACAAATTCTCTATGATGAATGTGACAATTATATGTACCTAAAATTTACCATTGAAAACTGTCAAAGATATAAAACAGAATTAGTATAACAGAAACAAATTTTTAAATTAAACTGTGAAATAAATATCACTATTATATTTTTAATAAAAGAACAAGCTTTTACTTTTACTCTCAAGGACCCTTTCTGTATGTTAAAACTGGACGCAGTGTGGAGAAACCCTTAAAGTAATTCCTTTAGATTTTCCTTTCAAATTTTTGAATTACTTTGCTGGTCAAAATAAGAAATTGAAGACAGTTTCAGAAATGCTCTTATTGCTATGGGCAGCTTAATCTGCTCTTTCTTCTCTATGTGGTCTTTAGAAACTGCCTCCTACTGGTCATTCTTGTCAGAAGCAGCTTACGAGTTTTTTTCCAGGACAGAACATTTTAAAGTGCTAGTTTTGCATACGGAAATACAATATATGCAACGAATAAAGTTTAAGAGGAACACAATGAATCAAAGTCTTTAAAAAGAAAGACATGTTATGCTTTAGCAAGGATACTGATGGGAAGTGTATTCACGGACATGTCTGATTGAATATTAGAATGTCCTGGCCTCAGTGGCTGCAATGACAGAATTCATACTGGCTTGAACTGTTTTATTCTAGAGATGAGAAAACTAAGTAATCACAACCTTCAACGGGCAACACTTAATACTTCTGAACGGAGGCAAAGACACAAATCTTCACTGATTACAGGCAGATGTAGGCAAAATGGTAAGTCATACATTCCATTTGATATCTCTCAGTGTACTGAGGTGAATGTTGGAAATGATTCGATTAAATCAACAACAATCACTCAGTTAATAAACCTTCACAATAAAGCAGAGAGATGACATTTTCTGTAATAGAAACTTAAATATAAAATAAAATTAGAATAAGTGAGGTTTTTTGTTTTTTTGTTTTTTTGTTTTGGTACCTAGAATCCAACGCACAGTTTCATGCTTGCCAGGCAGCCACTTATGTCACTAAATCCCTGGCCCCATAAGTTAGTCTTTAGCACTTTTTTCAGGCCCCCAAATGGATGAGATTACTCATCAACATAATAGTAGAACAGGAGATTTCCATTATCACTGAGTCACTACCTTTAAGGAAGAAAAATAGGCGTAGGAAAGAGAGGACAGGAATATTTTAAAATTCGCAAAAGTTATATTCTTAAATATATAGATGAAATGACCTGATTGCTATTTATGGAAATGTTTCTGGGTATAATGGAGAAGATAGATACTCAAATGTCTTTCCAAGTCAGTTTATTAATATTACAGTTTTAATTATACCAACTTCATCTATTAATTTTGATGAAAAACTAAGAAATAAATTACTAAGAAATGTCATTATATGGAGGTAATTTAGGAATGCAAATATGCTGTATGTTTTAATCAAAAGAGAAAGATAACTATTGTACAAATAATGTTAAAAAGATATTGGATAAAAATCAACAGAACTTGATATATATATATATATATGTATATATCATGAACTTGATATATATATATATATATATATACAGGTGATGCACATATTAAAGCACCATTATACTATAAAATTCTGAAATTTTTACTATAGTTAGAAAAATAAAATATTTTTACTGTTATTTATTATTATTTTTACTCTTGTTTAATATTAATGATTTTTGCTGATGCTAACTACTGATCAAGAAAATTGGTGTAAAGTCAGAATTAAAAGAAAAAATTAATATAACTTCAAAATGTAGTATTCAAAGGAAATAAGATGTAGACACATGCATTCCATGAATATTACAAACAATATGATCCCTCATATGAATACCTGGTTGAAAATTAAGACATAAAACTTAATTATCTTCTTGACTACAAATAAGATGAGAAAAAACTGTGATGGGACAAAAAAAAACATATATATATATAAAACCTATATATATATATATATATAGTCTTTTTCCTTTTTTATCGGTACCAGGGATCGAACTCATGACTGCCTGCTTGAAAGGCAGGCGCTTATGCCACTGAGCTAAATCCCCAGCCCCTAAGGCAAAATATATTTTTAAGGGAAAGTGTAAAATAAATTTTTTAAATTAAAAACACCTAAAAATTTATTAATTTGAATTCCTACTATTGAACAAAGAATAAATATGTTGAGTGAAACAGAAATTAGTCAAGGATAGAAAAGAACATTTAGCAGACATAAATTATTTCTACATATCTATAGACAATATATCATACTTTACAATTAGCATGCCCTTGAAAAATTCATTTTAAAGTTTGTATGTCACAAAGTGTAATTGTACCAAAATCACTGGAGAAAGAAATGTATTAAAACATGACAGGCATTATTAAATATTCAAGCATTTCATACAGGTAGGTAAATTGTACACATAGTGAGTGAACAGACTGATTAAATAGGAACAACTGAAGTACATAGAGGGAAATGCAGTATCATGCGCTAAAAATGACATTTTGTAGTCAGTGAGGGAACATTAGCTTATCCAGAAAGTACCATTAGAAAATTTCAATGCTCATTTGACAAAACAACTATAAATTTGATCTCCTGCCAAACATAATTCACATACACACACAGACACTGATGCAAACATCAATGGACCAAATAACAAGCAATTTAACATTACGGCGAGGCATGGGCATATTTAATCTCATAAACTCAGAACAGTAAAGTCTTCATTCATCCATAAAAAGTGCATACAGGGCTGGGCTTGGTGGCTCACGCCTGTAATCCTAGCACTCGGGAGGCTGAGGCAGGAGGATCATTGCAAGTTCAGCCTGGGCTACAAAGTGAGTTCAAGGCCAGCCTGAACTGCACAGCGAGACCCTGTCTCAAAAAGACCAAAAAAAAAAAAAAAATACATAAAGGAAAGTATGATGAAGTGGTCCACAGAAAAATGAAACATTCAACCCTTGAAAGCGATCATAAATAAAGTTGAAACAGAAATGACATCTGAAATGAGTCTTTGCAAAATATGGTGAGGGAGAGTGTCATACTCTCAATCTACAAAAGTGCGAGACAAAGCAGTGACTTAATACAAAAGGCAAAAAGGAAAAAAAGCATTATTTATATACAATAAAACATACTCAATTTTATTCAGAAAAGGAAATAGAAAGTTAAAAATGAAAAATAGTACCTAGCAAAGTTATACATTTTATCATGTAATGAATATTTACTCTGATAAAGATGCAACAAAACATACATTTATTTTATTTTTGCCACTCTGAAAATTGGTATTATCTTTTTGGGCTGAAATTTTCAGCCACTGTAAAAATGGAATATGTCCATAACCTTTGACTCAGTCATTACAATAGAAAGAATTTTTCATAGAAAAGAACTAAAAGATATGCACAGATGTGCATGAAATGTATCATTTCAAACAGCAAAAAATAACAAAAAATTTAAATATCTATTTAAAAATTTAATGTCACTGCATAAAATTTGTTCAGAATATCTATGAAGTATAATGCAACTATTATAAAACTTAACATCTTCATAAGTCATGATATCTAATTACCAGGATATTGTGTTAAGCAAGAGAAATTTCATGGAATATTTGTGTAATTTCTGAAATATGATTTAAGAACTGAATGAAACAAACTGCCTATCTTATTGTGTTTACAGAAAATAACAAAAATTAGTAATTGTGATTTATTTTAGGAGATGGTTAGAGAACTTGTAAGAATTACGGGAGGGAATATTAATTTTTGTAATGTTTTTAATTATTTGTGAAATGCTTAGGTAACCTGATCTGGGAAAGGCAATTAAAGCATAAATACACTTACATTACTCCCTCATAAAAGCACACTAAGGTTTACATGAAACGGGAATTCTTCGGCCTCCCTTTTTTGTCTTGATTTTTTTTTTCTTTGACAGTGTCTCCATTGTTTTTTGGCCATATTGTTGCTATAACTGTGGTGATCCGTTTCCTCGTTATGTTAGCGATATGGGCTGCCGTATTCACCAACTGTAAGTTACAATGAACTGGATTGCAGTGTTTAATCACATAACTGTAATTCATTATTTTGATTAGTATTCAAATGCACATAAAGTAGAAATTAATATTCCTATTATTTGCTATTAGTCTTCAAATTTATCAATTGTTTTTGCTTGAATTGTATGTTATTAGCAATATTAAATAAAAATTTTAATATTATAATTATTTTAATAGCATTAATCATCCAACGAGTTTCGTTTCCTTCAATGGGTAAGTGAACCTTTTTAGTCTTTTGAAGCAAAAGTTCTAATATCTGTGTTTACTGGAATGGACCCAATGTCATTAAAAGAGAGAAAAGAAATAGTTGATCTTTTTCCATATTTCAAGGTGGGTTTATATGAAGTGGTTTCATAAATAATATAGGACTCCAAGCAGCAAAACTCATAAATTTGGAATTTAATTAACTGAGCTCAGTGGCCACTCACGTGGACCCATGTTAGAGTCTCACTGAGTGGCCCTGAATGGGAAAATTATAAAACTTTTGAAAAGAGAATCACAAAAAGACATCCTGTTGGAAGCAATTTAGATAGAATCTTATATTAATTTTTGGTTCACACCTGTATCCTGGTTTTTTTGTTGTTGTTGTTGAGCAGGTTTATTTTTCTCTTATGGGTACAGCTCATTCTGCTTTTTTCATGGGATTATACCCTGAGTAATTTTCCATTTTCCTGGGTCAAATACAGGACACCAGTTAAATGCAGGGCTCAAGATGGTGTCAGTTATGCCAAGCTCCAACATTATATTTTTAAACAATGAAGAAGAATTTGTGAAGAATAGAAAATTATTAGTTTTGGCATCTGCCTTCCCATGAATGTGTACAAAAGGAGATTTGGGTATGACTAGGCAAACGTTTAATTATTTGGAATTTTAGAATTTAATGGGAAATACATATAACTTTTCTAGATTACATTATGCATAGAATTAATAATATATTCTTTATATATTTCTAGAAAGTTACTGTGGCCCATGTCCTAAAAATTGGATATGTTATAGAAACATCTGCTACCAGTTTTTTCATGAGAAGAAAAACTGGTACCAGAGTCAAGCTTCTTGTGTCTTTCAAAACTCCAGCCTTCTGAAGATCTACAGTAGAGTGGACCAGGTGAAGCATTTGCTTTAATCTTTTATTAAATCTCAGTACACACATTAACTCTCTGAAACTTCAGCCTGGAGCATAAAGGGAACACTAAAACTTAGACCTTCGGAATCTCACTCCAAACCTTTCTGCACTAAAATTAAGAAACTTCAGACATTGTGCATATATTGCTTAGGCAGGAATTATGCTAGTTATGGGATAAAATGTTTGCCTCCAATTTCAAAAAGGAAAGATGGAGTGCTTATAGCTTTACCTTTATATTTTCTGAGAATAATATTATATTCACTTATTTGTGGTTTCAAACAGGATTTCTTTAATTTGGTGAAGTCGTTTCATTGGATGGGACTAGTACGAATTCCCAAAACTAGATCCTGGCACTGGGAAGATGGCTCAGTTCTCTCACCAGATCAGTAAGTCTCTGACCTACTAGGTTTGTAGTTGGGGATGTTTTCAAGTTATCTCTGAGCTCTTCTATCAACCACATTTCCTTTTGCACAGTCCCAGCCATTTCCATGTGCTGAGAGAAATAGAAAAAATGTTAAGCTCTAAATTTAGAAGACAGTGCTACAGAGGAGTCAATATGAATAATATCTGAATGAGTAGCATAGATTGCTTACAGGTGATAAGTAGCAGGCACGCTAGATCTAACAGTATGAGCTTTTTACACATAAGAAACTGAAACCACCTTACAAATTCTTTTTAAATTTGTTATTAAATCTGTCGAGAAATAACTTACATACCAGAAATTGACTGTATATAAAGTATGTAAGTGAAAAAGTTTTTAAAAATGTATACACTCACAAAACCACTACTAACAACAAAATAATTCACCTATCAACTGCAAAACTTATCAATCTCTTCACTGTGCACATCCCTGTATTTTTGTTCCTGTTTCTAGGCAACTAATCTTTTTCTTGCCACTATAGAGTAGTTAGCAATGTAGAAGAATTTAATATAATGGGAGTCCTACAATGTATACTGGTTTTATTTTTGTTTTTGCACTCAATTATTTTTAGAGTTAGTTATCTCAAGGCATCAGTGGGGTTATTTTATTTTTGTTCCTGACAGACATTCTGTTATGAATGTAGCACATCTTGTTTGTCCTTTTGTTTGCTGATCTATATTTAATCAATTCTCATTGCAAAACTACTGTGAATACTGCTGCTTACTGTGAACATTTGGATACAAATGTTTGTATAAAAACAATCTTTCTTTTACACAAATTCTTAACAGTGTAATAATTGAGCAATATGATAGATGCTGGATATGGTTGATTTTGTAAGAAACTGCCCAAACTGTTACAAAATTTGTAATGAAATTTTATAAGTTTCACAATCCTCTTAGCAGTATGCAAGAGTTCTAGTTGCTCTACATCTTCACCAACATTTGTTATGATAAAATTTTTAATTTGTAGATAGTTTAATAGGGATATATTCACATCTCACCCTGATTTTAGCATGCATTTTTCTATTGAGTGACAAGCAGAAGATCACGTGACATGCATTATCTATTATCTACATTTGAATTTTCTATTTCATTAATTTCTGATCTGATTTTCTTACTTTTTATCTTTTTTGCTCTAAAGTAAAGGCTTTCGTTTTTATGGTTTCTTATGGAGAAAGCCGAAATATTCATTTGAAACATTCACTTCTAGTAGAAGTTTTCTTGTTATAATATGCTGTATGTTGTAGTCAGGGGTTTGCAAGGAAAATAAGAAAATACAGGACACATAATTTACAGTATTATTTTGTAACAGTCACTCAAGAGTTAAATGCAAGAAGTGCAGGTAATCTGTCCACACTGAGACCCAAGGAATACAGCTGAGAGCCTGGATCCCACAACAATGACCTGCATTGCCTAGGACCCATGACAACGCCTCCCATGAGTCCAGCTGGAGGTCTAGAGCCCATCACAACGACTCATACAAGTCTGTTTTATGAATATGCACTGAAAAGGTCCGAAGGTCAGTGGCAGAAACTAGAAAATCTATGCCAGGGGGATAGAGGATCTTTGCCAGTAGGTTGAGGGTTCTACACTGGAGCCAAAAAGCAACACTCAAAATAAGGACCAACGCTCCCCTGGAAAGTACCACAGCTATCCTCAGGCACTATGAAGTCCCAGGTTCCTCTGACAATGAGAAGAACTGAGTTCATATCAGGAAGCCAGCATGACAAACCTCCTGCAGATTGAGCAGCACACCATATTCTCCTCTGGAGCCAGGAAGCGATACTCAAAGCAAGGACTAGACTCCCCCAAAGTGAACCACAGCCATTCTCAGCTACAAGGTACCAAGATCCTCCAATGATATCAGCAAAGTTTATATCAGGGAAGAAGCTCCACAGGTTCCTTCAGGAGAACCAACAGCTCCAAACAACAACAGTGCTTAGGAGAACTCACAGGGCTCCTTTTTCCTCTTCAGTTCTCCTTTTTATGCGGGCAACAGTCCACTGGTGGGTCCTCTAAGCTCAGCACCACACTGACTCAATCCAGCTGGTTTTCATCTTGATCACCAAATATCAATCCACCATAATGTGTGAGGTCATTCAGGAACATCCCTGAATATTCTGAGATAGTGTCTTCATTTCCATTTAGCTCAAACTAGCTTCCATATGCCCTTCTACAATTTTCTTAAATTGATGTGTGACTTAAAAAAGTCTTATTTAATTTCTAACATTTGAAAAATTTCTAGTGATACCTCTGATACTATTTCTCATGTTCCATTTTGATCAATTTACTGTGTCTTCCTTGACATCTCTTAAACTTAACTGAAATTGGTTCTGTGGACTAGACTATACTCTGTGTTTTCAAATGTTCCACATCTACTTTTACAGAATGTAGACTCACTCAACCATTCCTTTGTAGAATGTTCTATAAATGTCAATTAAATCAAGTTATGTAAGAGTGGTGCTCCAGTTTTCCATAAGTTTTCTGATTTTCTACTTACATTGAGGAACAGGCCAAGATCCTTAACTGCCTGCATGAGCATTATGGCAAAAGAATGAAATAAGAAACAAAGCAAATTTAATAATGTATGATGGGTGGCTGGGAGGTCAATGCCTCATGATGAGCAGAGACCAAGCTACTCCGAACCAGCCATTATTTATTGGGTGTATGCAATGTAGTGGGGCTATTGGAAGGTGCAAGATTCAGAGGTCGATGACTCAGCAAGCAACAGAGAATCCTTGGATGACTCAAGAGGGTGGACATGATCTTATGCTATGAAGGATCTTACTCTGGAGTGTTCTCTTTAATTTTCATAGTTTTAGCTAGTCTTAGTGGGTGGGAGAGGATGGCCATTGTGAATTTGTTGGATTATTTTTGATAAAGGTATCATTTATATGGAAGTATTGAAAATTTGTACTATAATTATAAATGAGTTTTTATTTGTAGTTCAAATAATTTGAGTCTGATTTATTTCAAAATTCTGTTTTGGGGTATATAAAATTCAAAATTTATATATTCTTCAAGAATTTATGACGTATTACTAAGTTATGAGCTCTAGAACTAATATGTTGAAATTCTACTTTTCCATTATATTGTATAGTATTGCACTCAAATTTCCTTTTGATATTATGTTGCATGTATTTTAATTTACATGTAGTTAACTTACATATGACTTGATATTTAAAAAGTGAGTCTCTTATAGACAGTATAGCTGAAGTTCACTTTATTCGTGATATCTGATAATTTATGCATTTTAATAAAATGTTTAGGCTATTTACATTCAACATGATTATATGATTAAGTTTAAATAGTCTTGCTATTTATTTTCATTTGCTCTACTTGGTATCTATTCCTGCTGTTTTCATTTGTAGTTTTTTTTCTTTTGAGACATAATATCACTATGCAGTTAGGCTGGTATGGACTCACTATGTATTGCAGGCTGGCTTGAACTTGAAGCAATCCTTCTGGCTCAGTCTCCTGAGTGTCGGGATTATAGATGTATACTACCACAACTGGATCTTTTATAATTTTTTTAAAAAACATTTTAATCTATATTAGTATTTTTCTCTTGCATGGTTTAGTAGAAATTTTAATTATTAGATATTTTAAGTAACAATTGTTTTAATTGTTTTTAAAGCTATTCTAGTTTATTGCATGTATGCTCAATTTATCCATTGATATATCATGTATAACATTCTTTCAGTACTGCCCTTCTATTTTTCCCTTCTCATACTGTGTACTATTTTACTCATACACTTACCATTATGTACTTCATAAATTTCATGGAAGAGTATGGTTAATTTCACTTAAGCAATCAATTACATGTTAAGTGTTTTTTGTAATAAAGAAGAAATATAAATTATATTATCTGTGCCACTTTATGGTGTACTTTACTGTTTCTCATAGATCCTTATTGTTATCTGTGATATTTCTTCCCTTCTACTAAATGCTCTATGAAAGGAGTCTTAGAGTATGCAAGTATGCTTCAGACTCATGGCAAAAACTGGTTCTGTTCCCTTTAAACATGTCTGATAGTTTTTGAATGGTAGTTATCTTGCACATATGTATGAACATGTTTTGTTGCACTGTGCTGCATGCTTAAAGGATCCTTTTGTAGGTCTTCAGTTTTATTTACTTGTTCAACTCTTTCATTGTAAATTTGGTCTCCTGTGAGTTACTGGTGCCTTGGTGTTTATGGAGTCTCAGGTACTCCATGTATCCTTTTTGTACATTGTTATGGTTTGTGTTTGAATGCCCTCCACAAGCCTCATGCAATCATGGAGGCAGCTGAGTCTAACATTTGTGATTGGTTCGTTGTCTAGCACTGGGACTGGTGATGTGAGCACTGTACCAACCCAGGGGCAGGACCAGCATACAATGTAAGAGAAGGAAGGAGGCATGCTTTTCTGTTGTCCTTTGGCTATTGCTGTTTGTGGCCCCTATGAATAGTTGCCTTTCAGCCATGCCAGCCCACCTTGGAACCAGCTGAGTATGGACTCAAACCTTCAAAAATCTAAGAAATAAACCTTTCTTTCCTTCCTTCATGTGAGGCATCAGGTATTTTGTCTCAACAATGAAAAAAGAGTAACCAAGACATGCAGCTTGCTGTTTCCATCACCCAGGACAAAGAGTTGCCAGGGCTAAGTAACAACACTTTACTATTCTCTAGTTCATGAACCTCACCTTAGTCATTTGGGTGAATGCTAGAGGAACTCTCATAGGTCATTTCTAACACTTGAAAAATGTGATCAATCAATACACTGCTCAGTAACTTACTATTCTGGAGTAAATATCAACATTGACATATTTGCTTTTTCTGTTCTTTGGTTTTATCCTATCACAAAAGCAGCCAGTTTTCTAGTATATAAAGACTTGAAAATATTTATTTCAAGTTTATAATAGTTATTTGAATATCCAGTTCTATAAATTATAAAAGCAATAAACGCATCAATTCTAATGTTAGATTAATGAATTCCTATCTGTCAGACACCTTTGTTCATACTTTATATGTATCTTTTCATAACTACTCTTAAAAATTCTATATCAACAAGAACTAATTTTTACTAATTACTAGTAAGAAACAGAAAGAGGGTGTAATTACTAACTTAAGGCATGAAATTTCATCATTGTTACAGCAGGATTTAGACTCATATATGTCTGATTCTCATACCAGAGTTATCAGTAAGTGACTGAGAATAGTCTTTTCATTAATTTTTCAATTTACTTTGGTGTTTAAATTGCTAGTTGGCTTTAACCAATGAACAGGCTGTTAGTATCATTTATGTTTTCCCTTCTGATCATTATAACAGGTAATATCTTGCTTTCTCATCGTATATTTGTGAATTGGAGGGCCCAGAACTTGGAATTGAACTCATATCTGCATTATTTGAGGTTTTATTTTTATCAAGAGATTTTGTTCTCTGAAAATACCAAGACAATTTTGTGTCATATCATCTCAGTGTTTTCCTATTTCAAGTGCAAAAATTCTTTTCAGAAGCAAAACCATTGACATACTAATTTATATTTATTTATATAGTTAATATTGTTGAACATACTCAGTTTTCAGGAATTAGACAGATATGACTGGAGATGAATATACCCCAACCCCTTCGTGAGCCTGAAACTTCAATCAGAGACAGTTATAAACAGTTATAAATAGCCAAGTGTGATCCAGCGTAATCGGACTCTAGTAGCAGTGTGAGGACAGTGGTAAGGAAAAACAAACATCGAAGTCAAAAGAACATATAAAGAAATTGAAATTAGAACAATGGTTCTATTATTTCCTTGCAATGAAGAACATTCAAAAATATCTTTTCTGGTTACTTTAGAATAACTTACATATTAACTATTGTGCTGTAGGACTCCAAAATGATAAATGCATGACATGAGGAAAATGCTAACTACTCTTATTTGATCAATATATAGTGCATACACGTACCAACACATGAAATTGTACCCCAACAATATATTTATAGTTATAAAGTATGAACAATAAATAATTTGAGGCTCGACTATGCTTAGATTGAGACACACTCAGAGCAGATACTAAAAATCTCTTGGACCTTTTTATTCCTGTAGTGGCCAATTATTTCCATTCTACTTAGAAAATTTCCTTGCTTTTTAAAATACAGATAGTATCAAACTGTGGTCTTTTCTTTGGTAAATTTCATGTTGAAGAAACATCATCACGCTTTCTTGAATCTTCTAGTTCTGACCTGTTCTTGGAAGAAAAAAAGCCCAATTATTATTTTAAGCATATAACTCCAAAATATAAAGATGTCTGACAGGGAGTGAGACAGACAGGGAGACAAAGAGAGACAGACAGACAGACAGACAGACAGACAGACAGTCACAGGCACAGACACACACAAAGACACAGACAAAGACACAGACACAGACACAGACACAGACACAGACACAGAGAAATAAAGATACACATAGATATATAAATGTAGATATCCTTCGTGGAATACTTACACATAAAGGGCAGCATACACAAATACATATATACTTGTTCATGTGGGTATATATTTACATGGATACGAATTTTAAAATTTATCTTCGTTTCGTCACTGAGTACAGTTGCATAGCCAGTCATTTGTTGGTATCCTTGGAGTATTGGTTCCAAGACTCCTCCCCACTCTTCACGGTACTGACATCAATCCACAGGTGCTTAAGCCCCATTTGTAGTGTGTGCACATACTCAACACACACCCTCCTGTGTAAATCACTTCTAGATATGCATAACCCCTAATGAAATATATGCTCACTAATATTATGTAGGCAGCTGCTATCCTATATTGTTTATGAAATTTTAAAATCTCTGAAAGTATCTTAAATACTTGGAGAAATAGCACTGTTAGCAGAATACACAGATTCAGAACCTAAATGCAGCAGATTGGCTATTCATGAAGAATATTTTCTGTGTTTTTGCCCAAAATTCTAACTGATGAATTGTAAAGTGAATTTTCACTTCATTCATAAACATTTATTTTTAATTAAACATTTCAGAGCTCATGTTTTATTCAAGTACACGTGTGAAGAACTTCAGAACTGAATAATTTCCAGTGTATAAAGAAAACAGTGGCACGTAATTGATAATAGAATACAAATTTTATTTGTACTATCTGAATGTGTTCTATCTTCAACTCTATGAACTGGGAAGGCCAGGCATAGCTGCGAAATATCCTGAAATATAAGTTAGGCTGTTATATTTGAAATGCTGCAAATATTATATTTTTATAATCCTGTATTAATGTAACCATGGAATTCTTTGTAATTCCCTCTCCAGACTCACACTGATGGACACGCAGAATGGAAAGTGTGCTCTCTATGGCTCAAATTTTAAAGGCTACACAGAAAACTGTTCAACTCCGTACCCATACATCTGCATGCAAAGGACTATATGAAGACAGTACCAGCTCAACAAAATCCCTGAATAGTGGGTACAACAGGGACTCAAAGAGATTATTATAGGGACATACGATCTTGTGGATTTAGCTTTCCTAGGTCTTGAATTTGCTGGCTACCCATCACACTGTCTTTGTTATTTCTGTTTTTTTGTGGTGGGAATGTTTACCCAGTGCCTATGATTCATAGTTTTAAATCATAGTTTTAAATGACTCATTTAACTTGACAAGTTCACAATTTAAGAAGATTTTTGCCTCTCTTCCCCATATCTTATTTAAATTATATTTGGATGAAACTATGAACTTAAAATTCTAAGGGACTGATCCTGGAAAGAATCAAGACTATTGGGATTGTAATTATGTATTGTTCCCTGTGAGAAGGCTGTGACTTTCAAGGGTCAGTGGTAGAATATTTTAGACGAATGCTTGTGTTCCTCCAAAATTTAAACTTGAAGCCTTAACTCCAAATATTATGATACTAAGAGGAGGCGCTTTTGAAGGTGGTTTTTGTCAAGAAGATAAGGCCAAAATGATTGAGATTAATGCCATAAAATTGAAGCCCCCGTGATTTCTCTCACCTTCTTCTATTCCTCAAGTATTCACTTGTACAAGAGGACCCTCACCAGCGCCCTTTTATGCTGGCACCACATTCTTGGTTTTTCAGGATTTGGAACCATAAGGAATAAATATCTCTTGCTCATAACTCATCTGGTCCATGGTACTTTCTTATAGTAACCTGAATGCACTGTGACAGAAGAAGGTACCCTGACATCAGATCTCATTGAAATGTGATGGGAACTGCTGTGCAATATTGTTGTATGATATATTTCAACTTGGGCACATCATTGCTAAACCTACAGACCGGTAAAAATTGTAAGCTATCAAGATGAAGTAAAAATAGAAATCACAAGAGAAATGACAGAAATTGGCTTTTCTTTTGAGAGCTGATAAGAGTTTCAGTTTCCATTTTGTGGGTTGTCAGGCAGCACTAGAAACACAGATAAGGCTCAGGAATCCCTGATTTGAAAGGTAAAATGTGAAGTTTTTCTTCTAAAAGTAGGATTCCCCCCCAAAGCCTATGTGCTCGTAACAACAACAACAATGACAAGTAAGGTCTGCAGATCAGGAAATGGTAACAATTCTTGCTGATCTAGACCTTTGATAAAATAGAGGAGAATTCATGAAAACCTCCATGAAAAAATTGTAATCACAGATGATTCTTTATTTAACTGGACCAATCCAAATTCGGGGCAATGTTGACATTGAAAAGTATTGCAGGAAAGTAATTTATTTGAAGTCGTTCAAGGTTAATAATACTCTGTGAGACATGGTGGCACATGCCTGTAATCCCAGCACTCGGGAGGCTGAGACAAGAGGCTTACTGTGAATTAGAGGTCAGAATGGGCTACAAAGAGAATTCAAGGTGAGCCTGAACTACATAGAGAAACCCTGTTTCAAAAAGACTAAGTAAAAATAATAATAATCTATCAACACTACTACTGATGTTTTCATTCTTTTCTCCTTCCCTCCCTTTTTTTCTTCCATACAATATTTAGGATTAAATCCATGGACATCAGACTGGGCTACATTATAGCCTTTATTTATTTTTTTTTTTTGAGGTAGGGTCTTGATAAGTTGCTAAAGTGCTTCAGTTGGTCTCAAATTCCTCCTGCATCAATCTCTCAGAGTTGTTGCATTACAGGTGTGCATCACCATGCCAAGCTCAAATATTTTCTAAAGGAAAACAATTTCAACCAGTTCTTAAGGAGTTTTGATAAATAATCTTCCAAAATTCTCTAAACTAATATCATGCAACAAATGAGGTGATATTTTAATGTTCAGGTAATGGATTAGGGATCTACACTAATTTTTGAGAGACTTTATCAGATCTTTTTGTAAGTTTGAATGTACATCAAAATAAGGAATTAAAACAGGCAAACAAAAGAGTCATCTTTGAAGCTCCTTTCTTTTATGTACTCCATCAACACATCAGCAAATCCAAGTGATAAGGTAAATATATCAGCTTTCAGTCGGTTTTTCACCTCATTGCTGTTAGACTTAACAACCCTAAAACTTGCAGTTTTGTGTAACATACTTTTATTTTACTTTAATTTTGGAAGGATATTTTTACTAAGCACACAATATCATTTTGGAATTTAATTTTGTTGACCATATTCGATATGAAATGCTATTGAATTCCAGTTTCCATTATTTATGCTAACGTTAGTTTCTTAGTTTATGGTTGTGCCTGTCCCACTCGATCCTGCTGTTGAGGTTCAGATTTTGTTTTTGTCTTTGCTTTCAGCAACTATAAATTGTGCCTTGATATGGTTTTGTTTCTATTTATTTTGTCTATATATTCTTTTTACTTAGTTTTCATCTTATGATTTCATTTTTAAAGATTTTTTAAAAATTTTAAAGAGAAAAAAAGCAAAATAGAAAAAAGGGTAGAAATAATAATTTCCAAAAAAATGAACAATAAGAAATCACTGGTTGATAAATTACATATTGTCATCTTAGAAATAGTTGTTAAAGCTACAAAATTAAAGCATATAAAGTGGAAATTCAAAAAGTGAGACTGCAAACAGTCTCAGGAATCCCTGAGCCTTATCTGTGTTATATGTATATCCCATACCCCACCTTCCAGTCAGAGGGACCCAGGCCATCTATGGTCATGGACTTCTATCCACGTCCTCAGAATAAAGGCTGTTTTTTTTTTTTTTTTACTTTATATTCTCTCTTCACTGCACCAAAAACTCTTTCAATGCAATTAATCAGAACAAAGCCAAACAGCAATAAAAATGTTTGCCTTCAAAGAGATGGTAGAAGGAAATTCCCTTTATTTTCTATGTTGCATAGATCAACCTCCCAAGAGATACTCAGATCTCTGGCTCCCATTTGCTAATGGGGGGAAGGGAGGATGGGGTGTTTGATTCTCAGCCCACATGCAAGTAGACTCATGGCCACATTCCAGGGAGGGGAAGTGGTTGCTTGGTTTCCCAGAGCTCCAAGATCCAACATGGCATGGATCTTGGGAGACATTGGTGGTTGTCTCCCTGGGGTGGACACAGCTTGCCTGAGCCACAGCCACTTATTAGGGAGGCAAGATGATGGCTTGGTTTCCCAGCACCCCCACTTCCAACATGGCATGGATCTCGGGAGACACTGATGGTTGTGCTCCTGGGGCTGCCGCAGCTTGCCCAAGCCCTAGCCACTTATTAGGGAGGTGAGCTCTTCCACTTATTTTTATAATAGCAGTTACACATTTTGGGTTTTGGGTTTTATTACTTCTGAACTACAGTTCTTATTACTATTTACACTAGAGACACAATGTGATATTCATAAATGTATTTCTTATTTATTTCACTTATGAGGATAATCTCAAGTTGCCTTCATTTACTTATGAAGGCCTCAAGATAATTCTTTTTTATAGCTGAGTAATATTCCATTGTAAAAAATACCACATCTTTTTCATTCATTCTGCATTTGATGGGCATTTTGTTGTTTTCTACATTAAGCTATTGTTCATTGGGCTGCTATGAACATGGGTGCACATATTTCAATGTGACATGACCTTTTCAGTTTTCCTAGGAAAATATCCAGGAGAGGATTGGCTGGATTGAATGGAACTTCCAATCCCAGGCTTCTGAGAAATCTGAATTCTGATTTAGATAGTAGCCACACAAGTCGACCCTCATTAACAGTGGAGCAGTGTTCTTTTCCCCCAGCAGCTTCACCAACATTTGATTTCTTGATGGTAGCTATTCTTTCCAAAGTGAGATGAAATCTCAATGCTGTTTTAATGTGCATCTAAAAATGACCAGTGATGGTGAACATTTCTTCATATATTTATTTTCCATTTACATATCTTCATCTGAGAAATGTATATTCGTCTCCAATGTCCATTTTTGGAGAGGGTCTTTTAATTTGGGGGTCTTGATGTTTTTCAGTTCTTTATATGTTCTGGATATAAGTACTTTGTCTGAGAGGTTCTAGCTAAAATTCTTTCCCATTCTTTGGGTTTTCCTTTCACTCTGTTGGTGATTTCTTTTGAAGTGAAAAATCTTTACCATAAGATGAGATCCTGTGAGAGTTGACCCCCCTGCTATAGCCCCCTCCCCGAGTTATAAAAAGCAGCAAAGAATGTTTCATTCCCTAACTCCCCAGAGCCGGGAATGAAAGGGTTAACTCCCTAACTCCCCAGAGCAGGGAAATAAAAGGGTTAACTCCCTAGCTCCCCAGAGCTATCAGAGCAGAGCAGAAAGAAATGCCTAACTCCCCAGAGCTATCAGAGCAGAGAAAAAAAAAAAAGAAAGAATGCACCTGCAAGGTCGTTCTGTCTCAACGAGATAAGTAAGACAAGTAACTGTTCTGTTCTGGGCACATAGTGACTGGGCTAGGACCCCCAGTCTCCATGGTTACTCAACCCCAAACCCCTCCAATCAATTTCTGCCAAATCCTATGCTGCTCAAAATTAACCAATGCGATTTGCTTCTGTAAACTTGCTTGCCTCCCGCTTGTACCCTTAAAAACCCTACACAAATTCCCCTCGAGGCCCTCCGCACTTGTTTGCCTGGGGGACCCCATGCGCATGGAAATAAACTTTTTACTCCTCACTACGAGCTGAGTCCTTGGGGTCTTCTCCCCTGCGACACCGGTTCTTACATATGGAGGCCCCAGCGAGATAGTACGTCTCATGGGAGACGACCTCAACGGCTCCGCCTTACACCGCGGGTGAGTACGACCGGTCACTTTTGTTTACTTTCATTTTGAGATCGATCTACCAGTACTTTACACCCCAAGCCGAGCGGCTCCAATCTAGGGGCAATTTCTGTTATCTGTTCTCTGGTGACCGGGGGACGCCCCACACGGTTTTCCGTGACTCACCATCTGCGATAGGATTTTCCTATCGGTCTGGGGAATTTCATTCCCAATCTGTGGTCCTTCTGGGCCAGTCTGGGGAATTTCATTCCCAATCTGTGGTCCTTCTGGGCCAGTCTGGGGAATTTCATTCCCAATCTGTGGTCCTTCTGGGCCAATCTGGGGAATTTCATTCCCAATCTGTGGTCCTTCTGGGCCAGTCTGGGGAATTTCATTCCCAATCTGTGGTCCTTCTGGGCCAGTCTGGGGAATTTCATTCCCAATCTGTGGTCCTTCTGGGCCAGTCTGGGGAATTTCATTCCCAATCTGTGGTCCTTCTGGGCCAATCTGGGGAATTTCATTCCCAATCTGTGGTCCTTCTGGGCCAATCTGGGGAATTTCATTCCCAATCTGTGGTCCTCTGGGCCAATCTGGGGAATTTCATTCCCAATCTGTGGTCCGTCTGGGCCAATCTGGGGAATTTCATTCCCAATCTGTGGTCCGTCCGGGCCAATCTGGAGGCACCCCCTAAGGTGACTCATTTGGTGTGAAACTCATGCGTGAGAGTGAGGTGGCCGGCCTGTTTGTCCTGTGTGTTGTGACTGTTGTGATCGGTTATTTGTTGTGTCGCGCGTACGCTAACCACTCTTTGTCTTCAGAACACCATGGGACAAACGACATCGTCCCCATTGTCCCTCACCCTCGACCATTGGTCAGAGGTTTGAGAGAGGGCTCACAATCTCTCCTTACAGGTTAAAAAAGTAAATGACAGACTTTCTGCTCGTCTGAGTGGCCCACATTCTCCGTGGGTTGGCCACCAGAGGGGACTTTCCACCTTCCCCTCATCTTAGCAATTAAGAACATCATCTTCCGCCCCGGACGAAGAGGGCCACCCGGACCAGCATGCCTACATCTTGGTATGGCAGGACCTCAGGAAAGAGCCCCCACCGTGGGTAAAACCCTTCCTTCCTCCGCCCTCTCCTTGGTTGCCTGTTTAAACTTGTTACTAACTTAGGGGCTTGTTGCCCATTTCTGTTGCAGGATCCATATGGCTTATTAGATTCAAGGTTCATGATAAGAAAAATTATTTCTTTTAGCTGACCAAACTATGCAAGAAGCTCCCTTTGTTTGTGTCTTTAATGTTGTGGCATCTTGTTTAATATGTAAGACTTCAATTGATTGCTTGCAACCTCAACATACCTTTTAAAAGGAGTATTTTTTCCTCTCTGATAAAAATGTAAACATGTGCACATATATATGTATATCTATGGTTATTAAGAATCATATCAACTTTACCAAGTAAAAACCAGGTCATACTATATTTGAGCCAGTTAAAAGGTTACAGTTTTGTTTTTAAAATACAGCATTTTTATGTGGTAAAAAGACATAAAATAAGTATGTTTTAGACTACTAAAAGGTGACTTCAAGGGTTTTGTTGAGAGTTTTGATGTTGTCTGAGAAATGAAAAAAAAGGTAATTGACTGGTAATAGTAAAAAGAGGGACAAAGAGAGTGGTCTTCAAGTAAAGGTGTCTGGCTATGCCAGAATGTAAAAAAAGATTAAAGCTTAGTTTGAGAGGTATTATTGTAAGTTATAAAAGGCTCAAGAGGATGTGAATTTTATTTGTCTTGGTTTATAGTACTACAAATAACAGGTTTGACAAAAAGTAAATGTGTTCAGAATTTGACAGTATTAGATCAGTTTTGATAAAAGTATACATAAGATTGTACTTTGCTACAAAATGTTTCCATTAAAATGAGATTATAGGTGATACTACAAATAAGATACAAGTTCTTACATGTACTGTGAACATCTGGGAGATTATGCAGCACAATTTTGTTACCTATAAAAAAGCCCTTTCTGTTAAGAATATAATTTTAATAAAATGATGGCCTGCCACGTGACACCCTTGGACAAAAAACAGTGTGCCATCCAGATAAAGCCGGCTCTCTGATCCGGAATGCCAAAACCATGTTCTCCTTTTGTGCCACCCTGACTGGACATCCAGAGGTAAGGAGGTTTCCCAGTATCGCCAGTTGTTCTCTTTGTAACTCAGTCGGCCCCACATGTTAGACAAAAATTACAAAGGTTTAAGAGGTTTAAAAAAATGCCCCTCAGCCAGTTAATAAAGATAGCACAAAAAGGTCTTTAAAAACTAAAAAATTTACAAAAAGATAGCCAAGATGTTAAAATTGCTCTATGAGAAAAATCTTTTAAAAAAAAAGACGAGAGTTTCTGGGGGCAATTGGATACTGTAGGCTAAATTTTACTAAAAAGCTTGCCTCTATGACTCCCATAAGAGAGAAACTCAAAATTCGCTAAACTGGACTGATAAATGTAAACAGGCCTTCCAACAGCTCAAGCGGGCCTTGACAGAGGCCCCAGCCCTGGGACTCCCTGACGTTACAAAGCCTTTCATCTTGTTCATAGATAAACTCAGGGACATTGCCAAAGGAGTCCTAACTCAGGACATTGGCCCTTAAAAGAGGCCTATAGCCTACCTCTCCAAAAGACTTAATCCAATAACAGGAGTATGGCCCCCTGCCTTAAAATACTAGCTACTATGACAATGTTACTTAAGGAAACAAAAAAAAACACGCTTTGGGCAAGTAATTTCTGTGGTAACCTCTCACAGTTTAGAGACTCTTATCAAAACCCCTCCTAAAAAAAGGCTCTCCAATGCCAGAATTCTACTGTCAAGCCCTGCTTCTAGACCCAGAGTCAATGATATTCAAGACTTCTTCAGCTTTAAACCCAGCCACCCTTATGCCTGATGATGACCTGGAGGAACAAAGGACACCTCTCCATGAGTGTGCTGACATCCTCAAACTGCAGCGGAACCTACAGGCTGATCTTACTGACCAGCTTTTGGAAAATGCCCACAACTGTTCGATGGAAGCAGCTTCATCCAGAACGGCAGAGACAGATGAGTGGCCGGGACAACAGTGACCACCAAAAAGGAGGTACTCTGGGTTAAAGGGTTAGAGCCTAGCACCTCTGCCCAAAAGGCGGAGCTCATTGCTTTGACTGATGTACTAAAACTAGCCACGAAAAAGAGGGTAAACATCTATACTGATAGTACATATGCTTTTGCTACTATACATATACATAGAGCCATCTATTAAGAGCGAGGTCTCTTAACCTTGGCCAGAGCTAAGATTAAAAAAAAAAAAAAAAGAGGGCTCCACAAATCCTAAATTTGCTGGCAGCAGTCTGGCTGTCAGCAGATTGCTGCTATTCACCTGAGGAAACAATTTGGCAGATCAGGCCGCTAAAAGAATAACAATCACATCAGAGAGGCCAGCCAAAAAAAAAAAAAAAGTAACTGCTCTGACGCGAGTCCCCCCGACCTTATCAAAACCAGTCTACACAAAAAAGACTACACTGGTTGTTGTGAGCCATCTAACGGATTCCAGTCCCTGTGACTAAAAGACAAGTACAAAATTTCTAAGAGCCACAGGACTGATCCAAAGTTTGGGACCCTGGCAGAGGCCTGTTGTCTACCTTTCCAAGAGACTTGGTTCTGTGGCAACCAGATGGCCACCCTGTCTGCGGTGATTTCTTCAATGGCCCCCTCATAAAGGAGGCTTAAAAATTGACTTTTGGACACAAACTCTTAATTGTTTCCTCCTATTCACTGGAGACTCTCATCAAGGCCCCACCAGACTGATGGATGTCTAATTCCTGAGCCATACATTATCAGGCACTATTTCTAGAAACAACAGCTTCAAACTCGGCTACTTTGCTGCCTGAGGATGACCCCTCGTTGCCTCATTGATCACCTCACGAAACATCGACCTTATGTAGTTGATAAGCTACTGTCTAGAGTTCCATCCTACTTCTCTGATGAAAACAGTTATGTCTCTCAAGAGCCCATTTGCACTTAAAAAGACCAACATCTGACAGCTCAACTTCCAAGAGATTCCGGGGGCTAATATCAAGCTAGCCCAGTCTGTGAGCTTCAGATGCCCTCAGTGCCAATTGGTAAATCTAAAAGTACTACAACAAATAAAAACCACTGGTTATCGTGGGACTATGCCTAAAAACACTAAAAAATAGATTTTACAAAAATAAAAAGCCTAAACTTCAAAAATATAAGTGTTTTCTACTTAGTCTGAGTCAGCTCTGATAGCAGTTTCTCTGATTTGGTCTCCCTTTTTATCCGTGGGGTCCAACAATGGCCTGGCTTTTATAGCCTAGTAACTCAAATTAACCTAAGCTTTACAGATCAATTAAAAAACTCGATTGGGCTTACCAGCCTCAGAGTTCAAAAAAAGGTAAAAAGATAAGTTAGATTTTAAAGACTATAATTACTAATGGCCTTAAAAACTGGCGAAAACTGGGTGAGTCTCTTTTCCTTCTGCCCCTTTACATGCGTGATACACCCCCTATGTTACAGATATTTCCTCTTTTGAAGTTTTATGTGAGGTTTCTAAAAATTAGCTAATTTAACTAATCAAGATCTTATTAAGTCTCCCCAGACTTTTCAGCTAGCTGTGACTTCCATCCACTGGTTACTTCGCTGCTGCCCACTGCAGCTAAAGAGCCTAGACACCTGGACAAGCGACCTCACCGTAAATCTCTTGAGAGCGACCTCACCGTAAATCTCTTGAGCCGCAATAGATTGTCAAAATAGCTAAAAGCCTGCCTAAATTCAACGTTCCCAATGCAGACAAGTCCCAACTTCAAAAGACCGTCAGCCTACAAATAAGTAAACTGTCATTTCTTCCAAGGACACTTTAAAGCTTAAGATTGTCTAATATAACTGATAATTTTATGTTCTCCTCCTTTATAGAGACCCCAAGGAGGCCTCTGTCTGACTTAAAAATTGTTACTTATATGGTAAAACAGAGTAAATTTAAATGTTGGTTTTCTTTCTCCTTTTGGTTAACAGCTTTAATGACAGCTACAAGACCTTTGTTAATCCTCCTACTGGGCCTTATGTTATAAACAAGTTGATAAACTATGTCAAAGTTCTTAAAAGCTTGTAATTTTAAAGACACATACAAGGTTATAAACAGATGCAATAAAAAAGCTAAGAAAAAAAAAATTAAATCTCAAGAGCCCCCTTCAAGTAAAGCCAAAATGTTCTCCTTCTGGAAATCAATCCTGCCCTATATTCTCCCTTTACTGGGACCCCTGGCTGGATTCATTATAGTCATGGCTATAGCCCCTTACCTCATTAACCGAGTAACCCAGTTTGTGAGGGCTCAGATCTCTCAAGTAAAGGTTATGGTGCTACGTCAACAGTATGACCCCTTACCAATACAGGACCTTTAAGATTAAAAGTCATCGAAAAAAAAAGGGGGGGAATGTGAGAGTTGACCCCCCTGCTATAGCCCCCTCCCCGAGTTATAAAAAGCAGCAAAGAATGTTTCACTCCCTAACTCCCCAGAGCCGGGAATGAAAGGGTTAACTCCCTAACTCCCCAGAGCAGGGAAATAAAAGGGTTAACTCCCTAGCTCCCCAGAGCTATCAGAGCAGAGCAGAAAGAAATGCCTAACTCCCCAGAGCTATCAGAGCAGAGAAAAAAAAAAAGAAAGAATGCACCTGCAAGGTCGTTCTGTCTCAACGAGATAAGTAAGACAAGTAACTGTTCTGTTCTGGGCACATAGTGACTGGGCTAGGACCCCCAGTCTCCATGGTTACTCAACCCCAAACCCCTCCAGTCAATTTCTGCCAAATCCTATGCTGCTCAAAATTAACCAATGCGATTTGCTTCTGTAAACTTGCTTGCCTCCCGCTTGTACCCTTAAAAACCCTACACAAATTCCCCTCGAGGCCCTCCGCACTTGTTTGCCTGGGGGACCCCATGCGCATGGAAATAAACTTTTTACTCCTCACTACGAGCTGAGTCCTTGGGGTCTTCTCCCCTGCGACACCGGTTCTTACAATCCCAGTTGTTGATACTTTGAAGCATTTCTCATGCAATTTGCATTTTGTTCATGAATTCTCTGCCTACCCCCATGTTTCCAAGATTTCTGCCTACCTTGTCTTCTGTTAGATTAAGTGTTTTTGTTTTAATATTTAGATCTTTGATCCATTTAGATTTTAGTTTTGTGCATGGTGATAGCCATGGATCTAGTTTCAGTCTTTGGCATGTGGAAAGCCAATTTTTCCAACACCATTTATTAAAGAGGCTATCCTTCCTCCAGTGAACATGTTTAGCCCCTTTGTCAAATATCAGGTGACTGAGTGTCTTCATAGTTGTTTTGCTTCTTCTAATCTGTTCCATTGACCTTCAGGTCTATTTCTTTGCCAGCACCACGTTGATTTCATCATTGCAACTTTGTAGCATAGTTTCAAGTCAGGGATTGAGATGCCTCCTACCTTGCCTTTGTTGGCCACAATTGCCTTTGCCATGCGAGGTTTCTTCTGTTTCCAAATGAAATTTAGAGAATGTTTTCTCTAGATCTCTGAGGTATGAGTGGTATTTTGATTGGGATTGCATTAAATCTGTATAACAGTTTTGTGACTATAGCCGTTTTCACAATGTTGGTTCTTCCTAAAGAAGAGCAAGGAATAGCCTTCCATTTTCTAATATCTTCTTCAATCTCCTTTTTTAGCATAGCATAATTTTTGGCATATAGATCTTTTACATTCTTCGTTAGGTTGATTCCTCACTATTCCATTTTTTAGATGCTATTGTAAAAGACAATATTTCCCTAATTTTTCTCTCTTGAAGATTTTGTTTGTGTACAGGAATGCTATTGACTTTTGAGCACTGACTTTGTATTCAGCTACACTGCAGAATTTGTTTATTACCTCTAGTATTCTTTTAATGGAAGTTTTTGGGTCTTCTTTGTAGAGTATCATGTCATCTGCAAATAGTGATAATTTAACTTCTTCCTTTCCTATCTTTATTTTTTTTATTTTTCTCTTTTATCTGATTGCTCTGGCTAGAATTTTCAGAATTATATAAGAGTGGTGATAGTGAACATCATTTTCTTGTTCCTGATTTTAGAGTGAAAGCTTTCAGTTTTTGTCCATTTAGTATGATGTTGGCTGTTGCTTTGTCATAGATTGGCCTTTATGAGATTGTGGAGACACCACGTATTCTGAGTTTCTGAAGGGTTTTTATCATGAACGTGTGCTGGACTTTATCTAAAGCTTTTTCTGTATCTATTGAAATGATCACGTCATTTTGGTTTTGGCTTTGTTGATGTGCTGTATTACATTTACTGATTTGCATATGTTAAGCCATCTCTCCATTCTTGGAATGAATTCCATTTGGTCATGATGTTTAATGTGGATTATTTATTGCATTATACTTTCCACTATTTTATTGAGAATCTTTGCATCAATGTTCATTAGTGAGATTGGCCTATAGTGCTCCCTTTTGGTTGTATCTTTCTCTGGTTTTAGTATCAGAGCAATACTTGTCTCCAGGAATGATTTAGGGAAGATTGCTTCCTTTTCAATTTCATTGAAGACTTTAAGGAGCATTGGCACCAAATCTTCTATAAGTTTCTTGTAGAACTCATCCATGAATCAATCAGGACCTGGACTTCTCTTTGTTGGCAAGTTTTTAATTGCATTTTCAATTTCAATAGCTGATATTGGGTTATTCAAAATTGCTATAGCTTCTTGGTTGAACTTTGGTAGTTCATATGTTTCAAGAAATATGTCCATTTCCTCTGTGTTTTCCACTCTATGTGAGTAGATATTTTCAAAGTAGGTATTCATGATCTTTTTGAATTTCCATGGGATCTGTAGTAATTTCTGCCTTTTCAGTCTTTATTGCATGAACTTAGGTTTTTTTCTTTCTTTTTCTTGATAAGGTTAGCTAGGGGTTTGTTAGTTTTCTCTCAAAAAAGCAGATTTTTTTTCCATTCATTCTTTGTATTTTTTTAGTTTCAATTGCATTGATTTCTGCTCTAATCTTTACAATTTCCTCCCTTTTATTAGCTTTGGGTTTAACTTGCTCTTCTTTTTCTAGAATCTGGAGATGAAGCGTTAGGTTATTTATTTGTGCTCTTTCTGTTTTCTTGATATGACAATTTATTGCTACATATTTCCCTCTTAAGACCACTGTCATTGCATCCCACAGATTGCAATATGTTGTTTCTGCATTTTCATTGAATTGTAGGTATTGCTTTATTTCTTTTTTAATTTCATCTGTAGCCCAGTGATTATTCAGGAGGTTTTTATTTAATTTCCATCTATTTATGCAGGTTTTGCAATTTCTTTTGCCATTAATTTCCAATTTCAGTTGCTATGCTCCAGTATTACACATGGAATAATTTCAATACTCTTAAATTTATTTAAGAATGTTTTATGGGATAATCTATGGTCTAATTTGGAGAATGTGCCATGTGCAGGTGAGAAGAATGTGTACTCTGATGTGGTTGGATGGGACACTCTGTAAACATCTACTAAGTCCAATTACTCACAGCTATGATTCAGTTCTATAATTTTTTGCTGACTTTTTGCCTAGTTGATCTATCTCTTTGTAACAATGTGATGTTAAGATACCCTGTTACATTTGTGTTCTTGTGTATTTGGTTTTTCATGTCCATTAGTATTTATCTTATATAGTTTGGTGCTCCTGTATTTGGTGCATGTATATTTATAATTGCTAGTTTTTCCTCTTGAATTTTTCCACTAAAAAGTATGTAGTGACCTTCTTTATCTCTTTTAATAATTTTAGGTTTGAAGTTCATATTGTCTGCAAATATAATAGTTACCTCTGCTTTTTTCTGGGTTACTATTGCATGGAATACTGTTTTCCATCCTTTGAATTTTAATGTATGAGTTTCCTTTTGAGTCAGATATGTTTCTTATATACAAATATTGTGGGATCACGTTTCTTGATCCATTCTGTCAACCTATTTCTTTTGATAGATGAATTGAGGCTATTTACATTTATGGATATAACTGATATATACTGGCTTAACTTTGCCATCTTTTGTTCCAGTTGTTTGCTTTCTGCTTTTCCCTTTTCTTTAATTATTTGTCCTACTTGGTGGTTTCTTTCTGTTGTTGTTCTGGAGATTGTGGTTATTTTTATCTCTATCTAATATCTTTCAATTATCTTTCTAGAGTTGGTTTGGTGGTAGTGAATTTCTTCAGTTGATCTTTGTCATGGAAGTATCTTGTTTCTCCATTAAATTTGAAAGATAGTTTTTCTGGGTAGATCAGTCTGGGTTAAAAGTTGTTTCTTTCAGGGCTTGAGATACCTCACTCCAAGTTCATCTTTACTTGAGGGTTTGTGCTGAAAAGTCTGCCATGAACTAACCGGCTTTCCTTGATAGATGAGTTATGTCTTTTCTCTAAACCCTTTAGTATTCTGTTTTTATGCTTAATGCCTAGGATCTTAATTATTATATATCTGGCTATAGATTTATGTTGGCTGTGACTGTTAGGCATTCTCTATGCCTCATTTATCTGCACATCATATTTTTCCCATGTTTCAGAAATTTTCTGCTATTATTTCTGTGAATATTTTACCTTCATCATTTGCATTGACTTCTGCATCTTCACTGATGCCTGTTAGTCTTGTATTGTTTCTCTAGGCATCATTTTGAAGCAGCTGGATTGTGATTTCATGCTACTTTGTTACTTTTAAATGTTCTATCCTTTCATGATCTCTAATTGTGATCCTGTCCTAAAGTCTAAAATTCTATCCTCAGCTTCATTAAAACAATGTTGATCATTCAAGATTTCAATTAGTTTCCCATGCTCCTGTACTTTTATTAAATCTATTTCTTCTCTAGCTGTGCCAATGCAACTCCTTTACTAAGGCTGTTATTTCTGTCTTTACATGAGAGATTACTTCTAATTTGATTGCCTCTATAGCCTCATGAATTTGGGTTTTTTTTATTTCACTTACTCTCTTTTCAGAGATTTCTGGTGTGTTATTTTTGAATTCCTCTATTTCAATGTCTCCTGTACTTGCTCCTGATGGACTAGTTGCTTGAGATTGCATTTTGCTTTTTTGTTTTGCCATTTTCCCCTTTTGGGTTAATATTTGGTCCTTCAATCCCACTAGTGTCAACTGTTGATAGAATGTATCTCGAGGTCCTGCAATGAGGTTGATGTTTGTCGAATTGCTAGGTCCCACAATGAAGAGGTGGGCCAGTCACCTGAATTTACCCTGCAGGGCCTGTTGGAGTCCTATATTCTTCCTAGGCTGAAAAGCCTATGCGTATTGATGGAAATCAATCCTTAATTCCTGCTGTTATTATGTCTTCAGGTTGTTCAAAATCATTAGATCTCCTTGTTTATAATGTTTGTCTTGGCTGGGACCCTACTGTGTCTCTGGGTGATTCAAGGCCCTTTTAATTTTCTCCAGGTTGGGGGAGGCCTTATTGGCACCTTCCTCAAACTATGTGGTGTCCTCTATGTGGAGGAATGACTCACCCACTTGCCAAGCTCACCGATGGCCTACTTCTGGAGGGGGCTTCACTATTGCTCCTGTTTACCCATTGAAGGTCGCAAACTATTCGTATTTTAGGGACAAATTCATCTCACTGATGGAAGCCTGCTTAGTTCTTATGCTTTTATTCGGGATTACTAAATCTCCCCTTGATACAGCATGGTTAATTCACTGAAATGCACTGTTCTGGGGCAGGTATAGGAGCAGAAGATCAACAGCAATACTAGTTCAAGGAGTTGAGGGGTTCCAATGGCAGCAGTGGGACTGCAGAGGCAAGCACCAAGGGCTGGAGTTCCTAGGTCTTGAGGTGGGCAGCAAGGACTGTGGGACATGGAATGGGCACGGGTCTGGCTCGACCCTGCGAGTGCTTCTGCCTGGAGTTCCTGTGTCCTGCAAGGTGGTCTGCTGGGCAGGTGGGATTTGCGAAGGGTCCCTGGTCTTGCCCAGCCCCATGCGCACTACTGG